ACAACACCAGATTGAAAAACGTTCACAGAATCCTAAGCATTGTCTTAAGCTAGAGGACGAAGTACTTACATTTCTATAATTTAAGCATTTTAACAAGCTATCTCCAAAACTCAAACCGGAAACTAATTGTGGTTCCTTTTAAAGTATTCCCAGAACTGCTCCCTATAAAACATGCTACAATGTAAGTGCATTATAAACCATATGCCAGTGGTTTAGCATGGTAAATAGTGGTTTTAAAAAAAGCAGACGCTTAATATTTTCTTGTTTATATTTTTTTTAGATTACTCTACAGTGTGGGTGATATGATTATATGTCAAAGATATGCTGTTTGGAAAAAGTAGTACATAGTTTGGCAATGGCATCTTTTTGTTAGCCCTCCACAAAACATTTAAACCAAGTACATCAATAAAATAGTTATTTGTTTATCCACCAGCCGCTTTGCATATCCTAATCAAGCTGATGGAAAAATTTATTCTGAATCTCCGGGTTGCAATTATGTGACTTGGGAAGGTATTGTTCAGTATTTAACATATGACTTGAACGTCCTTAACGATTAATGTTCTTACTTCTATACGAACAATTTATTCAAACAAACTATTAAGTATGTAAGAAATTGAGGCTGCGAATTCTTGAGTATTATAAAATTAGCTTGGTTAAAATTAATAAGCAATAATAATTCTGTTGGATTTTTAGAGAATATTCATCCTTATAATTTGTTAACATATAAGGATTAGCAAGAAGATTAGATATATATGAGAAAAATATTTTTTTTTATATCATAAGGTGGCTTAAACAAAAGTTTCAAATATTATTCGCTATTCCAAAAATATCGTATTTATAACAAGTATAGGTACTTACGTATTATACGGAGGCCACTTATTTTACAGCGCGCTGCGGCGGTTGGGTTAAGTTGGGTTATCATAAATATGTTTGTAGAACTTTCCTAGTTTCGTTATGAATCGAACTATACGAGATGAGTCATAAAAACTTATGATAACCCAACCTAACCTAACCGCCGCAGCGCGCTGTAAAATAAGTGGCCTCGGTATAATACGTAAGTACCCAAGTGTATTTGACTTACGAGTGTTATTTGGTGAATAATTAATTTAATACTAAATAACTAAATATGTTTCTTATATTTAAAAAATAATAGGGAAAAACTAGTTGATTCTCATTCAAAATATGATAACCAAAACTACTCAAATTACATTGTCTATTACCAATTGTTTGTGGGATCCTTCCAAATCTTCCTTATCACAGTTTTTGTTAAATTGTTTACATTCAAATTCACAATACACTATGGGTTATACAGTGTTTATTTAAATATAAACTATAAAACACTATATTTAAATGTTCTTGAAAATAAAAATAAAAAATTCCTTTGCTTAGAATAAAAAAAAATAATTGAAAGAAAAATACAATGTAAAGTCTGATCAAATAAACATCAGTATTACAGAAAAACTTTGCAAAAGTGTGACACATTATTAAACAAACATTAAAAGCATATTTTATGGAGAAACATTAAGGTTCTTTGTTGTTATTTACTTAGTTAGAGCTCTGCTTTGCCACTGGGAACAGCACAAGTCAAAATTACTGAGGTGGGTAATGTAGATCCCGTGTAGGAAAGGTAGATCATAAATCGGTAAGGTAGTTTTCATGTCAGTAGATCAATACAGTGATAATCAAAAATACAAATCTTTTTAATTTAAAACGTATTAACTTAGCAGTAAAAGTAAATACCCTGCCACAGCAAACCTGCAGACTAAGTGAATTTCCATTTACCTGGCTGGATTTCTACTTAAATTATTCCCAGAGAATGGTCAGATATTTTTCCTATTTAAATAACATCAATTTTAATGAGTACCTAGGTTTGCTGCCTCAGGGAAAGTAGGTGTGTTTTTATTGAAATGTTGATGGCTTAGTATAAAATGAACAAAATTGCCAAATTTGATTAAAATATATTAATAAACAAGCCTACTACAAAAGTGTATTTATTCTCCATAAGAATAACATGGGACTTCTTTAGGATTTTTTTATTATCTCCATAACCGTTAGTCATACAACACTTCAATATACAAAATTATTTCTTTTTTAAGCTCTAGAGAATGGTATTGAAAGAAATAGTGAAATTTTATGTCTTTTTTTTGTTAAAAAATATGTGAAAACCCTATTTTTACCCCATAAAACCCCTTATAAACCCCCGTTTTTCTTGTCCGATAATAGCTTAGGTAGTGTTCTGCTTTGCCACTGGGAACAGCACAAGTCAAAATTACTGAGGTGGGTAATGTAGATCCCGTGTAGGAAAGGTAGATCATTAATCGGTAAGGTAGGTTTCATGTCAGTAGATCAGTTATTAGTAATCAAAAATAAAAAACCGTTGAATAATTATTTTAAAATGTCTAACTTAGCAGTCAAATTTAAAAAGACATTTCAAATTCTGATCAAATAAGTTATACTTAGTGCTCTGTTTTGCCACTGGGAACAGCACAAGTCAAAGTGACTAGGGTCAGTAATGTAAATCCCATGTATGAAAGGTAGATCATACATCGGTAGTTTTCATGTCAGTTGATCATTAGTTCTAAAAATATCTAATGGAACACATTATTAATTACGGACGAAGGCCCTAGAGGATACGGTACATAACATATAATTTTTACAGTTAATTTTTACAGTAACTTTCAAAATGCGGTACCTAATGTTAATAAACAAAACTTGTGAAATAGTTTTATTTTTAGATGTGTAAAAGGTTTATAAAAATCGTCTTCCCATAAAGTTCAATAGATTTTATGTAGGTTACTTTGGGATTTTTGTTATTTCAACGTGGCTTATGCATAAACTTCTGGTCCATCATCTGTGTTTGCTAACAGTACAGTCGTTACCATCAACGTTTTTGCCTCTAATAGAATTAAAGGATTTTTAAACCGGCCATCTCACCTATATATACATAATTTTAACATTTGTTCAGATAATCACCAGGCCTACGAAAGATGTTCCGGCTATGTAGGGCTTTCCCATAAGCAAAGCAGCTTGTATCATTTACAATTTGTAAAATGACTTTCCTTGTATTTGGATTTATTTTGTTTATTGTTACTAAATGAAGTAAATAATCACATACCTTTTCCATTTTTTTTTTTTTTTCATTAGAATAAATTAATACCTAACATGTCTTATTCTTGATGGATTAAAGGTGCGTTGGGAATATGATGTACTATTTGTGTCAAAATCATCATTTATTTATCATTCTTTTCACTTTCTTTGAGTAGGCATCAGTTCTAATGCTAGTAAAGACAAGCCCGTTATTTGATATTATAAAGTTAATGATCGCTCTTTGCAACCATCACCATGTGATTTAACTTGACTCCATATTCTTGATGAAGCTGTGCTAACTTCACACTGGTTACTTTAATGCAGATGTTTTTACGTAATTACATAACCTACTTAGTCAGCACCCTACACATACAATGTACGGTAATAACTGTGTTTTACATTTCATTAAACAGATTTAAATATCAATTGAAAATAAATATTTTCCTATTAGGTTCTTTTGTAATGCTTTGTTAATAATTTCCTTATAAGATTCTTTTGCCTAGGACTTTCTATTTGTGTGCCTAAAGATCAAAACATTAGGATATCGTTCACGATAAAATTCATTATTCAATTGTTGATTTTTAATTAAGCTCTATCAGCATGTTGATTGAATTGGTTTGTGTTTAGAATTTGTTTGTTTTACGCATTCACGCATTTGTTAGTTTTGATTCGTTTCATTTTCATGCATTATGTTACATTATGTACCATTAAATTAAATATTACACGTTAAGGTTGGCACAGTACAATAAAATAACCCCACAAAGACTGCTCCTTAATTCAATTTACTATTCAAGTTATAATAAGAATTAAAGTCACTTGTTTATTAAATATACTATTTTAAACACTCATTTAAATTTCTTTTGATTATTTACTGGCGAGTTAAAACACACAAAAATTTTGTTTGAAAGAGCTTATTTTTTAAACACCCTAAAATTACTTTATTCTATTACCTTTCTCAGTCCATCCAACTCCAACTCATCCATCCATGACGTAATCAGCTGACGTAACAGATGGTGTCACAAGAACAGCTTCATGTTGAAAAAAGTTTACTTCTATGGAAACTAATTTATAGAAGGTCCAAAATGGTGACTTATATTAAAGCCAAGTAGGGTCTTGGTCACCTTCTAGGACCAATACGAAATTGCCTTTTTCTTTTATTTACTTTTTAATCTCTACATTTTAGTAGGGATTGTATGGGGAAAGACTTTGAAATTCATTCAGGCCTCGAAAACTCATATATACAAAAGATGATAATGGATAATGAAATAGACGTATATTTTAATTCATTTACAAGCAAGTTACTTGCATTAGTTAAACTGGTATGATACAAACCAAAATATTTTCCATTAATTTACCATTTTATTTATGACACTCAGCTTTTCAGATCACAGCAGACAAACACAAATCCTTTTTATGCACCTATATCTAAAAGACTTTAAATCGAAGGTAAAAAATAACGATTTTGTCAAATAATCTTTGTCAATAAATAAATAAACAATAATAATAAATAATAATAATAATAAAAACAATAAATAATAAATAACAATAATAAACAAATAAATAAACAATAAATAAATAATCTTTGACAAATAATGTTGTCAAAATAATGAATTTTGTCAAGATCTTTCCTTGTAAACCTTCGGCAGACAGTTCTATAGAGTATAACCATAATTATATGGTCTGTGTGTGGCAATATGATATACATTTGGTCTGGTTGTGACAAAGAGTGTATGTCCTATGTGTGCAGACTGGATGCTAAGCAAAATAAAAGAGGCTCTGATGAAAATATGTTTATATATCCACAATAAGAAAGGACTGTAGTATCCTTATTCAGCTCAATCAAGATATTATATTTGTATTTTCTTATTTACAAACAAATGAAACTGGTGTTGGAAGTATAAATCAGACACAACTAACAGTAAATTTACATTTTATTTTAAGTCCGTCACCCAACCAATAGAATCTTTAGCATATCTACAAATAATAAGACAACATTCAATAGCAAACAGCCTGTAACAGTAAAAAAACACACTTACAAAAGGGCAAGCGACGGCACAACACAAAATGGTACACTAAAGCAAGCATAAATAACAATAAGCCAACAGGCACACTTACAACTTTGGCCCTGTAAAGGCACACACTAACAATAACTGTACAAGGTTAGGGACCAGATAGGGTTTTGGAAACATACAAACAAGGAAAGATGGGAATCAACAACCAACTTTCAAGCTAAGCCTGAGCTGGATGAAATAAAATCATTGACTGTAAATACTTATGTGAGTATTAATAGTCAATGATAAAATTAGGAAAATATATAGTTCCTAATAACAAATAAACTATTATATCATTGAAAAAGTACATGCATCACGACTGAGTTGATTAGCTTTAACATCTCAGAGAGTTTTACTAAGTAATTTTCAGTTAATTTAAAATCGTTATTAAATTCTGTTTTCCTGTATCATTATAAATCATTATATCTAATAGCATACAAATTAATAGTAGAACCATTATAGTTCTCGTTTCTTTATGTAGAAACGTTCCCAGCCAATATTACCCATGTAATTGTGATTGCTTTTTTCCTAAATCCGAGTTAATTGTCATTTTTCTAATTTTATTTTAGTTGTAAGGAAAGGTACTTTGGTAATGAACAAAATATTGATAATTCTTGTACAAACTTCAGATGTTACTAAAAGTTGTAATTTTATTTTAAAATATATTCAAATATTTGGGTATGTGTTTAATATAAACTCTATGTCAAATTAACTTTTACTTATAAGACTGAGCTTTTCAGCTACATATTTTAGTTATACATGGTTAGTTTAGTTTTGAAATGGTACCTCGGTCGTCTCTGAAGGTCGTCAGCATGTAAAAATAGTTTATGGTGATTAAAAGATATTTTTAGACTAAATGAAGTATTGGCGTTTCAGAAACAGTCATGCGATTCCTAATTTTCTTTTCCCCCAAATTGTGCGACGAGAGAATAATATGATATTTTAATTAATCCTACCTCATATTTCTTTTCCAGTAAAGCACGATGAATGAGTTTTATTATTTACAATGATTTACCACGTGACATCCGTGATAAACTGATAAAGATTGTAGTTTTTCAATGAATTTTCAGTTAATACAAATTTCAACCTATCTTTATACTTAATGCAGTAAGGGTTTACTCTGTAACACCCATATTCAAACACTTAGCCTGTTTTTACGAATTTAGTGTCATTTAAAGCTTAAAATATATCTAAGGGGCGAATAGTAACTAAAATTCCCTTCAAGACTTTGCCCCCTACAGTCTGGTTTACTTCTAGAGATCCAGTGATGCTAACCAACCTTTAAACCGTTTCAAATATAAATTTGTATTTGAGAGCTCGTAGTTTATTTTGTCTGATTGAAAACCAGATACTTACAAATTTATGACAATTAATTTTAAATAATCCACTTTTATTGATACTCGTAGTCAGATTGAGGTAGGTAAATACAGTAACATTGAATGGTATAGATCTACAATCAACGTAATTTAAAGATCATAGATCATTATATTCATCTTCAATGGATTGTTTTACAAAATTGTTCATAATTTATTACCAAAGGAGATTATAACCCCTATTTGTCAAATATAGTATTAAATATATTTCCCCCCTATGATTTTGTATCATCTGAGACAAACTTTAAATTTGCTCTATCAACGATGTAAATTCTTCAACAACTATTTTATACTTAACTATATTTAATAAATGCAGCGTACGATCTCAAATAATTATCTAAAACGTTACAATACCTAAAGCGCTACAGTATACGAAAAGCTTGCAATATGTACAGCTGTTATTTATTTGGATAGGAGTTCTTAAGGCTTAATTATTGTCGTTTGTTGCACGGGTTAGTACCCAAATACTAAATATTCTATTGCATTGCTATGTTGCAAATGTTGCTTCGGACGCACTCATTACAATCGTAAATTAAATATTTTAAATAACTATTTATATTTAAATCGATACTCGTATTTTGTAGTTTTACCATTCATTAAATAAGACATTTTTTTCCAAATAGCATAATTCGTCGTAGTTTTTTGTAACTATTCTAAGGGCCTTAATCTAATGTTAATATTTGAGAAGCACCACAAATTACTAAACAAAGATATATTTGTACTGTCAAGAAACAAAAAGTACACAGCCCAACTAAGCCAAGATTCCCAAAGCTTATACAAAACACATATTATTTACACTAACATTTTAGTCACTATTCTAACAAAATGTACACGATATATTCATTTTCAACATACAATAGAACCATTCAACAACTCTACGCTAACAATTAATGGCATTCTAATCGTTAACATTAACATGACGAATAAGTAACACATAATATAAACTCATTTAGAACATTACGCACTTTTGTGACAATACACATTATCCAGAATCGGTCCCCGAAATCGTTGAGGTATAATTTTAAATAAAAACGAAGCAACAACCTCTTATAAAGTAAATTTACAGAACTAGCTCTCTGAAACCGGTTGTGCAAGAAACAACATTGATAAAATTTAAACATTAAGAGTTGTAAAAAGATCTAATTACATTTAAAATGTTTATTGCATTTGAAATAACATTTTTTTATATTATTTACTCTGTTAAACGTTATCGTGTGTTTTTGGCCCCGAGCAGTTGTTGAAATTTATTTTTATTTTGTGTTGTTAACATTCTATTTCTAATAATGTTATATTATGTAAATTTTAAGTGAAATAGTATATTTTTTTATTGTTGTATTTTTAATTCCGAAATAGAAATACAAGGTTGTCGGGAATATAAAGTTTTTTTACGCTGCAAGATACAAATTTTGTCACCAATTTTTGTATTTTATTAAAAGGAACTAGTACTAGAAAAGGACATCAAGGAACCGCTACTCGTTGATGTAACATTTGCAAAATCTGTTTACTAGATCTCTATGTTTTATCATTTATTAATAAATGGAAGCTCCAAGCTCTAAGCATTCAAATATATAGACCAACTTGCACATTTCCCTATTGCATTTTTTTTTATTTCTAAGGAACAAGAAAAGTAAAAATTTGCTTTTAAAAGTATCTTATATCATTTCAAGTTATTTTCAATTTGTGGTTGTTATGTTTAATAAGGAAAATAGATACATATCCACTGTCCAACAATAAATTATAGGACAACATTCATTATTTTCAAAACATATTTTATCACTGTCATTGATATGGTGTTATCTGACCACATTTGTAACAACTCATTAAATTAATGATTTTTTCTTGGAATTGTGACCTAAATACAATCTAATATTACCTGTAATATATAAGGTACTAATTAGCTACAATAAACTATATAATACAGTTTAATTATATATTACTTTAGCTTATTGTTTATAGTAAAATTATTGCATCCAGTTTATGGTAATGTTCGAAGGACTTTGCCAAAGCTTTTATACACTCTTAACATATAAACCAACAATTAAAGTACAATGAAAAATATATTTTTTATTCATTAAACCTTAAAGCCGTTTTAAATTTTACTTTTTATAAATATACCTTAGCATAAACGTTGTATAGCTATTATTTTTTAATTCAATTAAAATTGCAATAATTATGTATACATTCGGTTTGATCCAACGAATATTATATTTTAAATACAATAAATACTAACTATTTACCTCATGTAATACTGATTCTAATTTCATATGTATTAATCAATCATTAAACTAAGGGACTGGTTAAAATAAAAATAAACTACATAACAACGTAATCAATTACATGAACTATGTGATATGATTTTCTACATTTAACCATTCTAAGAATAATGATTCAAAAGGATATTCAACTCATATGAGTATAAACTTGCCAATGCAATGCATTAAGTAAATATAAAAGACGTCCAACTTTTTCCTAAATCTTAGTATATAACATTCTTTCATTGCGATTATATTTGAAATAATACGTGAGTTAGTTATGAATAACTTTTACATCGACATATTTATTTGCAAGCAAAAATGTAGAAATTAATACCTTGTCTTAAATAATGTTTAAATTACTTTACCTGGGAGTATATTTTGACTTGTTAATCACTTATCACATATTACAGGTGTTTTACTTGATATAGATCATATTGATATTTTTTATTAAGTATATTGCCTTATTTTAGTTACATGTTTCATAAATTGACGATATGGTTATGGCACACTACATTGACACTAGTGAAGACTGAAATACGCATTGTGAATATAACATTTACAATACTAGTCAAAGAGATTCTTGGAAGTATTCTTTCTCTTTATTGTTGCTTGACCTTGGAAGGTTATTCACTCATAGCCTTTTTGAAAGCTACTGTATCTGTGATCCTTCTTTAAGTCTCACTACGAATATCTTAAAAGAATTTATTCCTCTAATACAGTGCATTAATACATTAGTTCGTTCATACGTAAGTTCTAATTTCGTTTCTGAATACTTTAGTACCATACAATCCTCAATCACATCACATCCTTAATGGACAATTGGACCTGTGTGTCACATTACATCCAGGGTATTCTCCGCGCCAAAAAGCTCGACCTTGACCGGGTTGAGATGTAGGTCATAAAGAAACTAAATGCCAGAAACGGTGTCAGCCCTGAGGGCTTAGGTCACATGTTGGCCTGACTTGAAGTAATGTGACAAACAATTCCAGGTCTGTGTCCAACAGAGTAGAGGGGTTTTTTTAGGGAGTAGTCTGATAATTTCAGGAGTCTCACACTACAGGCTGGCTACCTGTGTGAGTAAAAGCATTTTCCCTCCTCTCCCTAAAAAAAAACAAAACAAAAACATCCTTATTCACTTTCCTTACTACAGTATGATACAGACAGCGTGTTGTTTGACTAAAAGGACAAACGCGAATCTAGAAAAAGTTGTATACCGATCTTTGATCATCCAGAATCTGATTGACTAGCTTACCATTCTTCCTCACACATAAAACACTTGAAAGAAACATTGCAAACATTTGTTTGGCAAGATGAAGATTTTCGGCGAGACTGGCAGACAGCTTAGTAGTCGCTGGGACACTCGGGGGGGTTCATGAACCCGAACACATTGAGCTCATAGAGAGAGGCGAACGCTATGAACAGCAGGTACCAGACCATCAGGATGACTCCGTACCGTTTGTCCAACTTCCAGCCGTTGGCGTGGGTTGCGAACACGAGGAAAACGACGGTGGAGAGCAATGACAGTGTCGAGTACGTCAAGCCTGACAACAATGTAATAATGTGGGGTGGTTAATAGGTTATAGTGAACTGTAGCAACTAAATTGTTAGTTTTATAGCTTGTGTGAGCACAACTTCAGCTATAACTATTAATTCTGATTTAGCATTTCATAAAACTGAGATGATTGGTAGCAAGAAAATAATATGTTCAAACCTTGGAGGTTGTTAAGGTATGTACATCCAACAAAGTGGTCTGTAAGTTGTTTTTTACACAATTAACATCTTATTTATTTATTCAGCTGTCTGTCCTTAAGGGTCCAAAAGAGATCCAAACACATTGTTTGACTTCAGTTTTCTTTTCAGGGAAAGTCATTGCACATTTTGACTCCTTTAGTAGCAAAAGTGTAACCCTTACTTGGTGTTATGTTCAACCTTCCAAATTTAAAAAAATCAGTTCAAATCTAGCGTGGACTAAACTCTACTCTATTACTGAAACAGCATGTATGCTGCAAAATATTCATTTAAATACTAGTTTCAGCAAAATTCTCTCAAAAGTCAAATATATCACTTACAAAATTTAAATCAAAATTTTATTCAAATTTGTAAATCTACTGGGTTTTTATCTAAAAAAGATGTCTTTAAGATTCAATTATAAATATCAACAATGATTTGTTATTTACAGAATACAAATCCATATTATTTTAATATAGTGTAGAGTTTTTATATAGTGTACCAAATCAATTAAATTTTCAAATACCTTTGCTGTAGACGTTGACGTGGCTACCTGGCTTGATCATGGCTGTCTGGATGAACCATGGCAGGCCAAGGCAGATGAGGATATCGAACACATTGCTGCCTACAGCGTTGGACACCGCCATGTCTCCATAGCCTGTCATGCAATTAAACAGTTTTACCAACTATGTAGCAGAGTGAGAATACAATCTTTTAATTTCTTATTAAATATAATAATACATGAATTCATTCCTTACAGTCAAAATTTCAAAAGTGTTTCAAAATTGGTTTCTCATTTATGTAATTGTTTTGTTATCTTAAAATATTCTCTTTTTAACAGCTTTTTGCATAATATGGCTAAACCACTTTCAGTTTGTAATTTATTTTAAGAACGTTGCATCAATGAATATATTCTTTTTGGAATGAATTCTCAAAAGCTTCTTTACACTATGTACAACACCTTACAGATGAGTTGTTTGTGGATTATTGGATTCATAGAAGCATCCTCGAAACCTGTTAAAATAGTATATCTAATTAAACATTAGAATGAACCATAAGTCCGACGATTCGTTTCCCATGTTCCAACTAAATTTATTCTCAGTTGAACTTTATTGCACTGAGCTTCCAAACCTAATGCATAGAGTATTTCTATGCAAAAATTTAAAACTTCCTTGGCTAACATTCCTCGTTCAAACTTTGATCAATAAGTATGCTTTTAATGAAACTTTGCCAAATTCATGTGAAATCTGGATATAAGTATCGGATTATAAAATATGTGTTAATGTTGTACCTACCTTCTTTAACCACAGCAAGACTGGACAAGGCGTCCGGTACGCTAACACCCGCAGCCACAAAGGTAAGTCCCATAACAGTGTCTGGTATTCCAAGAGTGCTTCCTGAAATTCATATTAGACTTATTTATATAAAGCTCCATCTAAAGAAACCCGTTAGAAAACCAATTTGATTTTATTTCCGAAACAATGACATTATTTCTTTGAGCCTATCACTTTTTTTATACACAGGGAATACATAGTACTTTTGTCCCATATACATTTCATTACAAAATTAGTATCTTGTTGTTTTTTTTAATACCGTCTTGTAAGTTGTTATCATAGTAGATAGCTGAAGCTCAGATGTTATAACTTTCCCTTATGATTCACAATAAAGATTTTCAATCCTTAGAATATTCAGTAGGTTTTTGATTTAAAATAAAATTCTGCTGTATTTGTTTGTTGGTTTTTCAAAAACGGTCCAGATAAACAAATTACCTGTCTTGAACATTTACAAAGCTGCATATGCCATCTCAGAGAATTTTGCATTCATTATTGTATTCTGATTTGACAATGTTGCAATGTTTCTTATTTCAAAACATCCGTGTACATGAGTCACAGTGTAAACTATAAGAAATCGAATAAGGTGCCTAGTGCATTAAAGAATGCGTACCTATGTGACATCCCCAACTCATAATGCTTATGATAATGATAAAGTCATTTTGTTTATTTTATTTTTTCTGTCATTTTAAGACCAATGATAACAGTTAATAATTACTGCATATCAGTACGATCATTTGATGATAATACTACTTCTTTGATGATAATTATGCTTAGTTTCGCCTCTGTGGTTTAGCATTGTGTAAACATAAACTCTCCCTATACCTGTGTTGTAGATACCGTAGTTAATTAAAACGTAGCCTTTACCATTACTTTTACTAATTATCTGTACACAAATGTAGCATAAATTCTACAATTTTAAATAATTTTGAGAATTAATTATGTTGAAAAACATATCGTCAATAAAACTCGGAAACACCCCACACACTCTTAACGTTTTGTTTTTGTATTTGGATTTAGACAACTAATAAAACTAAAAAAAATTAAAGAAGTATTCTTTAACACTTTTAGAAATTCTAAAATTACATAACAACCATGCCTAAAACTGACTCAGTTACAACTAACAAACAATGTCTCACCAATGATTGTTATCATCCAAACCATTATGTAGGAGTAGAAGGAGATCCAGATCATGGATACAGCGAAGGTGAGAGGGTACCAGTTCCTGTACTGCTCGGAGCGACAGTCGGGCATGCTCTTTGTACACATATAGTGCACGGGGAGGCACAGACTCCATTGTATCCTTGTGCTTAGGTCAGCGTTCTCGGGTTTGATCAAAGGTGATACCTGGAAGTTCGATGTATGATTTTATTTAAAATCAAGATAAACATATATAATTCATGTAGCCATAAGTGTAGAACCCAAAAGATGGTGCAGTGTAATCAAATCAAGGTGATAAAAATGATGAACATAAATAAATACAGGAGTAAGGACTTTATCCCATACTTAAAACCTTAACTTAAGTAAGATTTTGAAAGGCTTTAAATTGTCATGGAAATCTATAGGGGAGGACTCATTAGCTATGTATAGAATAGTTTAAGGTAGCTTCCCACCCAAATATGTGTGGGAAGGTTTAGCTTATACATTGAGGTAAGGTTATTATACCTTAAATAGGCCATAGAGTTAGATCACTTAGTTGTGTCATCATTATGGATCAGCAGAACAGATAGTTTATGTTAGGTGTCTACCTGGTACGATACATATTTGCCTACCCTAGGCAATGTACACTCGTGTAAATATATCTATCTGTGTCTAAGCAGAGTTAGTGTGTTTCAACTTATTCTGACTACACCTTAAGAGTAGAATACTTGTTTAGCTAACTTATACAAACCATTAAAATACAAGTGGCGTGTTTTCTGCAATCTAAGATGAAAATTATTCTTTAACGAAGTATGTTTTAGTCCAATTTAATATTAATTCGGGACATATGTGCTCTGAAACGTAGTAGGACCAAAAGCTCAAAATTATAAAAAAACATCTGCATACTGCACACCTGGTGAGGAGTGCAGAATTCAAAACTGATAAAGTTTTATAGTTTTCAGATTATAGATTTTAGAGCCATTTTACTGCATACCAACTTGATTTTGACATTTCTTATATACCTATTATTGTACCTGGTTAGGATCCTGCTCCTTAGCCTTGTAAAACTCCGGTCTAGGAGTCATGCCGGGTGCGTGTGTCTGCTGCTGCGGTTGTTGTTGCTGCTGTTGTTGTTGCTGCTGCTGCTGTTGCTGCTGCTGTTGAGGCTGCTGAATGTTTCCCGTCTGCTGGGGCTCGTCCCAGTCCCGGATGGTGCTGTAGGGATCGGCGATCGGGCTAAGCCCAGTGCCTGAGTAGTTGGTCGTGCCGGTGGTGGTCGGTTGTCCCTGACCGTCCATAGTCTTGTAGGTGACAAGGTGTTCTTGCTCCACCACGTTCTTGCAAGGTATCCACGGCCATGTCTGCACCCACTGCTCCAGCTGATGATTGAACACCAGAGCTATGCAGTAGCCGATGTAGCAGAACAGCATAAACAGACTCTCCCCCCTGGGAATAAATCGATAAGTTAAATTGAAGAGAATAATGTATTTCAAATATTATTATTAGCCAATTTCAAAATTGTTGGACAAACTTAACATTAACAGGACGACTGGTTATGACAAATCTTTTGTAGTAACTGCATGCCACCTTTGGGACCCTGTACCTTATCCCAATAATCCTTAGAAAACTGATCCCGACTGACGGTGGCGCTGAAAGAATATTACCTTAACCGGATGGCCGTGGCGTGGCGGGATGGCATGCATTAGGCCTGGGTGCCGCAGAGGGTGTATGTGTGTGTGTTTGTATGCTAGGGAAATAAATTTATTTAATGCAATTATACCTATATATTTATTGTATTTTTTGTTTTATTTTGTCAAGTTTTATAATTATTATTGTTGGTTTTTTAGAGGTTAACTGTAAGAAAGGACCGTAAGGTCCTAATCTCACCTCAATGAAGAAGGATTTTCATTTAATTTCACTTTATATTTTTTCAATATGTTATTTGTATGTTTTTTTAGCTATGTAAATTTTTTTCGCTAAGGAAAGCATCGCTACTCTGGATTTGTTTAATATTTAAAAACAGTTTTCATTACTTTTTTTTAATAACGTTATACTATGTAAATGAGTATATTATTTAACCAGTTCTGAAAGTGACATACTGTAACGCTGAACCCTTCTTGTTTTCATTTTGATAAAAAAAAACAGTTTTAAAAAAAATTTACCAAACGTATTCATACATTATATACAATATGTACACCCTTCCTCATAAGTATATTAGACGTAAGAAAGAATTATCTTTACGTAGCTATAGGACTATGTTAATGTGGAATCAAAAGCATAATTTTGTTTTCCAATGTAGGACATTATGTATTGCAATAAAATAATTTTGTTACAGTAATTATAGAAAACTAAAAGTACTTTCTTTTCAATTAAAAAAAAAACAGTATTGACATAATAATATTGTACCAATACCTACTTGACAATAGTCTGTAAATACTAATAACATGTGTAACAAATAAACAATTAAGGAAACAATTTTTGTTGAAAGAACACATGAATGTTATTGAAGATATCATTTCATCAGAGATTTTCTAAACTTTATATTGTTAACTCAAGCCGTTATGACAGTTTAAACCAGTTTTCATTTTAAGGTAAATGGTAGCAGTTTAGCAGAACGAAAGGAAGTTTTGCAAACAAGGGAAGTTGGACAATGAAGTGTTTAAGGGACAAAAGTTGGGTTGTGGACGGACAAAGGCTTCTTCACTGCTGCAAAAATAGCAGGCAAAGCGTAGCCCTCAGGACTACATTTTACTCACAAATGTCCTTCAGACATAATTTACATTTACATTCGTTGACAATTTACTACCACTTATGAAATCTTTTTGAAAAGTCCTCTTTATTCTTATTTTATGTAATTCAACAGTTATAGACGTGATAGTGTTTATATTATGGTATGAACTACAACAATTGAATGGAGAGAAAAAAACACTCTTTATTACCAGTTATGATTGAAATTACTTGTCACGGAGTTTCTGGTTTAAAATTCAAAGCTTTGAAAAATTGTAATTTCTTATCTTACTCATTATAAAACTACTAACACCAACCAAATGTGTAGTGGGCCTATGCAGGATAGATAAACCATGCAAGCAATCAATGATTTTCTTCCTGGATAGGCTTCCAAGGCCATTTATTGTAGAACCGTGGTCTTCTGGTGACGATCGTGTCAAAATCGACGAATCACTCACTATTACTAACCGTCGTTTCGGCCTCGATGTATTGTGCCATCCTCAGGGCAACTTGACTACGCACAGAAGACAAATCAAGTGATCTGTTGACGTAATTTTTTATATGTGTGAAGTCAAATGTCCCTGAGGTTGGCACTCTGAATTGAGGTAATTCTGTCGAGGTAATTCTATCGAAGTAACTTCATCGTGGTGACAACGATTCTACAATCACTGCTTTTATACGACCTTATAAATAACATGGGACCATTACAACAGGTTGCATTGTTTGGACCTCGCCATTTGTAAAAAAAATGTCAATATTGATGATAGAATTTCTGTAACTACAGTACAGCTGGAAGATTCTCTTTCTAAAATCATCAAAGCCCGATTATAAATGACAGCTACCTTTGACAACCAAGTTGGATAAAACAATGTGTATCTTATCGCACTTGTGATTAACTTTTCTGTATGCTTCAAGTCCGATTCCGTTCGAGTGATCTGATGTTAACTTCATAGTTTAATTTGTGACTTTTTTCTCTCTTATTTTAAGGGTGTGATGGATCGTTTTAGTATGTTATTGTTAAATTAGTAATTAATGTGAACCAACAAGAAATAGAGTTGACATTAACTAACTCAAACAATACCACCAAAACAGATTTTAAATTTGTTTTAAATTTAAAAATAGTAATTGATCTACAAAGGTTGTACACTTAATTTGTAGTTAAACATAAAATTATTTTCGTCTTTTTCTGACTATTTGTTCATCATCAAACTTTTAAATAAATAATTTTGACGACGTAGTTTTGGTAGTTCTTGGATGATGCAAAACTATTTGTTTAACAACTATTCGTTTAATGGTTTTTATGGGTGTTTTGGTATTCTAGTGGTCGTCTCGGACTTCGGTGCGGGAGGGACGGGTTCCATTTCCTGCACATTCACAAGACTTAATGGGTTTGAACTGCTTTTCCATAAAGGCATTTAAGCTAAACTAACTTTCCTTCAACGAAAAATTCCACTGGAATAGGAAAAAACAATCATCCTATCATAAAACTATAATATAGCGTAAAAGTGTAGCTCTAGTGTATAACTGCCATATAGCTTAAATCGTTTCGACTCTGGCAACTCTACGTGTCTAAAAGGCCACTATAACCCTTTATCAACTCAGCCAATACGTACCAAGAAATCTTCTCGTCGAAGATGACGCAGAGCATGATTAGTATGCTGATTGCGTAGAAGAAGCAGTCTCGACAGAGTGGCCACCAGTTGAGGTAAGAGGTGGTTCCGGCGAACAGAGCACACACAGAGATGACAAACATGATGTTGAACACCGCAGAGCCTATGACTCCGGAGACACCGATGTCATCCTTGGCGAAAAACACTCCAATCACGACAGTGGCCAACTCAGGTGCGGAAGACCCTGCTGCCATGAATGTGGCCCCCGCCACATCGGGTGAGAGCTTGAACTCTGAAAAAGAAATTGGAGTGTGAGATGTGACGCAAAATGTTTAAAGTTATCGGTTCAATTTAGGAAAGTTATTTTTGGAAAGGTTTTAGGATTCTGCCTTCTTCTTGGGATGTGTCAAACATTGGCACTCATTTTTTAAAGGTCTAGATTTAGGATGAAATAGTCTCCATAAAAAGGGTTTGGGTTTTCCATTGAATACTGCCTCAGTAAGGTTCATTGTAGATCATAGCTAGTTAATGATAGTTTATCGAAGTATTAACTTTGTTAAAAGTATTTGGTTGGTGGCACAGAAAAATATGTGGTCCAGCCATTTTAGGGGAAATCTTAAATATAAAAAAAAATATTTCAGAGATTCGGAGGGTTGTATGTGGGTTAAAGTTATTTCCATCAATCTGTGGAATACAGATGCATTTTGAATGCAGTTAATCCGATGTTTGGTTTGAGTCTCTAGATCCCAACGCTCAATTGTGTGAATATTGCCCTAGCCACATTTTGAAATGACAAAAATCTTTACAAAAACAAAGGTTAAGTACATGTAGATTTTGTTTTTGCAAAAACCTGTATAAACAGTTCTCTTCGTTGTAGTCTTCGATTCAACTAGGCTCCAGTAATCTAGTTACTGTATTTGAATTCAGTTTATCGATCCAAGTAAACCTAGTTTAAATAGTGCACTTAGAGCTGAAGTCAATTCAGTCCAGGCACGTTGAGTAAGGGCTTGAATTCTAAATAAGAGCCTTAGAATGTACTATTTTCTGCAAGTTTAACCTACTTTGTGAAGTCATTAAGGTTGTGCGTAGCTAGGATAAATTTGTTCTGCCAACTAACACACCTAGAAATGCTTTCCGATGGCTAGTTGTTTAATTAAATACACTTGATTTGATTGTGGGGAGCAATTGAGTAATAGTGCAATGCAATATTGAAACTTAACAGCTGGTATGCAGTATCTGCATGTTTTATTCCACTATCATCCAAGAACCTATTTGATTTTAATTCTAAAATTAATTTGACGAATAAATTGTTTTACTATCCTACATGCATTATGTTTATTTTGTTGTATTGAAAACCCACCGTAATCCCGGGATACGAATGATGTTACACAAATGGGAATTTGATTCTCAAGGATCTACACGTATATCAAATTTCGTTCAAAAGCCTTACCTCTAAAGAATGTAATTTAAGTTTATATTCTAATGGCCAAACAAATGCGTTAACTGAACTAATTATTGGAAATATTAAATAATTATGCTATATACTCCAGCCATTGACTATTGGGTACTACTAAAACTACTAAACTGACTATAGAATCAATTCATTCAAGTATCTGTAATACCTGCTTCTTTACCGTGAACCACAACTTGCTGACTAATTTGTGTAATTATTACATTTCATAAAGCTAATACCAATTCAACATTTAAAGTGAAAATAGATAAAGAACTGACTGTATTTCAATATTTTGGACGCAGCCTAGTTCCTAAAATACAAAATGATGACTCGTTATTTTCAATTCCTAATTAAATATACTCATTTTGTTTCTCAATTTGATTTTATTTCTTGAAAAAGGTAGCTAACTGATTTTTTGTTAACTAATTTCCCCTTAGAACTTCTAATATTTCTAGTATTTTTATCTTGGCGCAAATACATTACATTAAATTACATTACACGCAAAAATAGTTATTGATAATTATGGTGCAGTTAGGATGACGAGGACATAGTCCTAACAACCACAGTAGGTCTTCAGTCCAATGGAACATTACCACAGAGCAACGTTGGTGCATTTGATGGAACAGTACGATGAACTCTAGTGCTCTTAAGCCTAGTACCTTTCTCAAAATACCAAATAACAAATAGGTTCAACCACTCAAAACGCCAAATTCTACTTTATTCACATCAAGCTATCGTGAATGCTCTGAAATGCTCTGACTTCCTACCTTCACAGATCCTGTCCAAGGAGGTGACGAAGTAGTCGTCACACACGATGGCCAAGCCGATGAAGGAGTAGACGCAGACGATGATGTGGAACAGGAGACCCCCGTGTTTGCGGAAGGAGGGCCCAAGGATGGGCTTTGGGAACTGTTCTATCGCTGGAGGCGTACAGTTCACCCTGCGAGGCCTCAGGGTTGGTACCCCTGACGGTGGTTCTGTCGTCGTGTGTAGGGGCGTTGTTGTGGTAGGACTGGCAACACTGTTTCGCACCTCCTGCATAACACAGAATTGTATACAATTGCAAACTTTTAGGTTAGAAAATTCCTCTTTACGGAGGTCAATGCAGTGTTAAGGTAATTTCAAAAGTGTCTGGCGTTTCAGAATCGGTACAACAATCCTGTGGAACACTGTAGGAAAACATATTGTTACTTTAAAATTAAATAAATTTAAACTAGTAAAACATCAAAAAGGTGTATTAACTGTATGAACCCTTTATGCTATGTTACTTGTCCTTTTCTCGATTAATCTCCACGAGGAGAGTACTGGAAACGTCAAAAGGACTGCTTGATATCCGATGATCCTAGTAACAGCCTCTTGACCTTTGACCATGCATGTGTCATTGAGTCTACATGATGACCTCAGTGAAGTAAATAGATTTTTAAACTTAAACATTATCAGCTTCCGTTTTAATGTTTTTGTTTTTAATTTTGTAGGATCAAGTGCAAACGGTCTACAGGATGAAAGTAGTTTCTTTGACAACAATGGGGCGGTAATTACTATATTTAAATATTACTGTTTATTAAATGAAACCTGCTACTAAATATAAATATTTATTAGTCTAATTATTTTTTCTAAGAAAAAAATAAGATTAAATCATAAAATGAATTTGTATAAAAAATATTAAATTTACATGGTTTAATCGATATTGATTACGTAGTCCAATTAATTTGCAAAAAGGTGTATGAAAAAATTAGAGACATAGTTCGTATAGAAAACATATGATTAAAGCATACATTTAACAACTTTAGTTCACTAATTTGTTGACGTATCCTAATGGAAACTGATGTAACCTGAACGAACAACTATTTTTTAACACTTGTAATTCACAAAATAAGAAGCATTCTTCAAATGCAAATGTATAGGAAACAATCAATTAAAACACTTCGTCAAAATTATCAACATAAAAACAACTTTGTATTAATAGTTGTTTTAAGACAGTAAGACAGTACTTCGTTTTCTATATGTCAATATTTCACCTAATGCCAGTGAATAGCATTACTATTATTTACTCACTAAAATGATTTTCAAAACAATTTTATTTGAATTAAGGTTTGGGATTTTTATTTACATAAAATGTGACTTCATTAGCAAAGGGAGGGAAATGTCCTAATTTAATACGCGGTGATAAATTCAAACTATACCATAACCAGGCACAGATGTGGTGGGTTTGGTGATAAATAAAGTGGATGGTTCATCCAGTGAATGACTTTAACCATATGACGTTCTATGTCCTCTTTAAATTGAATACATTCCATTGTTTAAAGATACATTCAATGATAAACTTTGTTTTTATAATTCGACCCGCTTTGATTAAATACTTTTTCAATTTGTCGTCACCAGTTATTATAGTTTTGGATCCAACACCAGTTACGCGTAATATGACAAATACAAATATATAGTAGTTTAACTATTTTTGGATTAATAATTGTTATCAAAAGGATCTTCATGTAGCCATTTAGTGTTTCAAAATTGATATGGATGTAAATTAAAACCGTTTGTAAAATATGCATGTAACAGTGACTGATCACACGCTTGTATTCCAATTCATACGAAACCAAACAAGTTTTGTTGACATGTTGAACGAAATTAGTTTTAAAACGGTCACAATCTATTTTTTTTTTAATTATATTCTGACATTTCACTTTCAGGTCATTAAAGGGCTGTTTACTTAAATTCATATACGAATATACTGAGTATTTCAGTGAACGTTATTTAAGTATTTCAAAATGTTTGAATGTAAATTTATATCGGAAAATACAGGTAATCAACAAGTATGTATCCAAGGTCATCTACATTAACGTTAAGCTTAGAAATTAAAGTATATTACAACTAAAATGAGTTTTAACTTGAAATTGATTAGAGCTATGATTACAAAAAGTCAATATTCATCGCGAATCTCCTCTGTTTTAATTTAAAATACAACAATTTTATCGCATTTTTAATATTATTTTAGAAGCTCCGGACGAGAGCACAGTTTAGTAAAGCACTAGAATTTTCAGAGTTTTATGCCTTTTAGGTGAGTCGATGGCTCAGTCGGTAGCGGCACATACTTCGGGCCCAAGGGCCCGATGTCACGGGTTCGGATCCTGGTCACTGCCGAAAACATTTTATCAGTATTGTAATCCTTTGTACTGTACCGACTCACCCCTTGCTTTGCTGGATACGTTCCACCACAGACAAGGGATTTTAACCTTTAACCTTTTGTTTCCTTAGTCAATGGTTCCACGCACGGGTAGTTAGTCTGTGTGGACGGGCAAATGCAACGTTAAAAAAGCTGCCAACCTCAAAAAAAAAAAATATATATATATATATATACACTGGTTATAGAATGAGCACGTTGGTTACACTCTAGCTAAACATTGTAGAGGAAAATTTAACAAGCTTTGTTGTATACTTAAACAACACTAGTTGGTTCCAATATAAGTTACACATATTACATGCCAACGATGGAACCGAATAAACAGCTGATTCATAGCGTAACTCTCCTAGTACTACCACAAACTTCCATATTCAGTATACATCTCGTTGTATAATCATACTCAAGTTGATCATGAACGTTAAACAAAGATTAGACAAGATTATTCCAAGGTTTACAGGTTCCGGAAGCCCCTTAAATGTTGTTATACATGGCTGAGTACCTATAGCCAAGTCAGGAAATTACCTTGGTCTAGTTCATGATGCTGCTATTACATAAATGATTACTAGTTTCCATCATGATTGCGATGTAGGTTATGAAATAAGACCTAGTTACCTATTTGTGTCTTGAGCGGAGCGAGCGAAGCTCATATATACTCTTGCTCTTTATTTTATTTTTATAATTGCCTCCTCAACTTTTTAAACTTTTTTAAGAACAATTAAGATAAAAGCTTTTCATCTCCACTGATTCATCCTTTGTTGTAGATTATAATGTACATTTTGGAGCCCGTAGCTCCATGTTTAACTAAATACTAATATATTTAGATCTCAGTGTGGAAATGTGTCAAAAAGACTCATCAAATTATCAAAACATCACATTAAGTTTGATTACACAATGACCACCAACTCGCAAGTATACATTAAAACATTTAGGTTATGGGGGAGAGATTCCGATATTTTACTCAAACTCTGTGGTAATTTTTTTTAATTTATTTTTATACGCAATTTATATTTTTATCTTCAAACATGACTCATACAAACCCAAGCAATTTAATTTCTATAATGCCTAGGTACAATTGACTTCGGAATATACTTAGATTACTAATTCGTCTGTAAACTCTAAACATTATTTCATGGCCCATATTTGAGTGAGTTTTACTAAATGTATTATCTTTTTTAAGATTTAGAATGCTTGCTTTACCATTTCTTTATGATTACAGAGAAAAAATAAGTTTACAATAAAACACTTAATTCTTTCAAGTTATTGGTATGATCTTTGACTATTATACAACTTCAGTACCCAATAGTCAATGGTAGGGCCTATGATGCAGAAATAAAAACTATAACGCTCGCCACACATTCTGAGAGAGAGCACCTAACAAAAATTGGGTATACCTAAAAATTACAAAGTCTAAAATAAGGTACATTTTATCAGTATAACTTATAAAATGGCTAACCACTTTATAGAACAATACACCTATTACATATGTTTTTCACTAGTGACATGTTTTTGCAATCACTAATACATTTTCTGCTATCTATTTGGTAGTATGTATTTAAAACTCGACAATATCAATACCGTGATGGAAAACAACCACAAGATTGCTACTTTACGGTCTACTGGGCAGATAAACAAAAGCTATCTCTGAGCTATCCATCACACTAGCTTTGCCGTCCATCTAACCCGTAAAGTATCGTGTTCTGTCACGAAATATCTCCTTTCTGGACAGCAAGCCTTCTCGACTCTATATTTTGTGTATTTTATATTCCTGGCTATTCTGATACGTATTACGTTTTAGTTGAACTATTCAATATTTAATACAACTGAGTATCAACATTGTTGATGCTTTTTATTTATTTTGTACGGATTTAGATAAAATATCTCCACTGTTAATAAAGTGGTTGTAGAAATAGTATATTTCATTACTAGGGTCGAAAGTGGAATTTTCCGGCACGCTTACGTTTTTCGGCGGGTTTTATTGGGTTAGTTTTCGGCTTCGCCTCACGCAGGGAACCCCAATTGCACGTGCGAGGTGAAGCCGAGTATGTGAGAGCTATTTTCACGTACGAGTCGAAGCCGAGGACGGGAATAATGGAGCAAGTGCCGGAAAAACTTTCGGTAGGAGTTATGAACGATAATTTTCATCACGACGCAAAAATACACAAACACAGAATAACAGACTTCATTAATACTACAACTATTTTATTTCTCAATTAATTTGTTTGAATAAAATCAAATAATATCTTCTAAAAGGAAACCTAAGTATATTTTTGATTAATTTTTAAAACATAAAAATAGGACTATAATAAAACATCCTAAAGGAAACCTACGTATATTTCACAATAAATTGTTTTTAAATATCAAAATAAAATAATTAAAAACTTTTAACAATTTATGGAGCTGATTCACATCATTTAATCAAACCGTAAAAAACTCTAGTGTGCGTAGTGAGTAAATGGAGACCAAATCGAGAGCGAGGGAAAGTAAATTTAGAGCGAGGAAAATCAGCTGATCGATTTTTAAGCCCTCGCCTTAAATTATAGTTTGGGAATCGACTACTTTCATTGATGTCAGCTGTTATCGAAAAAAGTAACTTTTGTTACGGAGTGGTGAAAATATTGTATTTCTACGTTACTTTTTATCTAGTAATGCTTGGGTCTTTGTACAGTAAATAATGCAGGGTATAAGGCTCTCTTCTATGATCAAAATATGAATGGTCAGGCAACAGTTAAAATCGTACAATTTACTAATAATGTCCATAAATTTGGTAAATAACACAACATTTAAACACCAAAAAAGCTACATATACTGGACAGAATTCCTAACAAAATTAACTTTAGCTGATCCATCAGAATGATAAATTCATTAAGTAGTCTTTTTTATGTTTTTCAAGTCTTACCTTCACATCCTAGGACGCTAGGTTCTAGCACGAAACAGTTTTACACATTACTTCAGGTTAGTCGTAGAGGGTGGTGGAATTAAATAAAATCCATTGGTGATTGGCGGGATTTGGACCAGGGACCTCGGGCTCCGAAGCTCTCTACCACTACACCAGCTCACTCCCATAGGTGTTCGTGAAATAGTAGGTTGATATTTGTTAATACTATCAATAAACACTATTACTATCCACTAACAAAACTGAAATTACATTTTTTAAAGCTTTCTAATTGCGCCAAAATATTGTTACCACGATGACGTAATCTCGATTACGCTTGGTTTATAATTAGATTTATCAAGTTTGCCAGAAATAATCACCTGATGAATATTAAAGGTTGACGGGGTATAACACCATCCAGGTTTCAGTCACCTAGCAACGATGACGCAATCGAAGCCTCTCCTTGTTACCAAGAACAATATTAACAGCTGATTCTCGATTTATCATGACGCGGGAAAATAGCTCATTGTTGAGGAGAATTTTCACAGAGCAGTATTGCCACCTGATTCTCAATTTAATAAATAATATGAAAGGATCTTATTTTGGAATCTTTGTATAACGATGAGGAAAGATTTTATTCTGGAATATTTGAAAATTCTTACGATAAACAATATAATATCGTATTCGATTGATGATGCACAATACAATTAAATACTTTTTACAATGATTTATCAGTGATCAAAACATAAAATGTGTATGTAAAATAACAACATTACCGTTTTAGTGATGTTTTCATCAGCTGGATATTGAAGTGTGGAAGTGACCAAACCGTACAACAGGACACAGCATGCCCAGACTAGCTGCCACTTTAGCCTTTGGCGGACCCTTCGGGACAGCATCATCTGAAAAAAAAATATATAAGTAGGTGAAAAATTTCATGAAATCTTAAAATATAAAAAGGACAAACCAGCAGGAATCTTCAACCTTGCTAAAATATTTTTTAATCCATGATATCAGCGCTATTATATTTTCTAGGTTAAGACCCCTGTTACACACTACGGTGTCCTGCCACGTCACCACCATAGAGCTATGTTTATAGTTCTATGGTCGCCACATGATCGCCACTCACCGTCGCCACCATGGTGGCTAGCGACTGACACGGTCGCTGGCTACGTCACCAGTCACCTAGCACTTGGACTGTTCAAGACCAGTTTTCTAGTTGTAAAGATGCTATAAAACAGCAAAAACAGTGAGTTCATGATGTATACTAGATCTCCTATAAATAAAAGAAGGATAAGGAAGAGAACAGTGCACGTTCATCCTATTCAGCCTGCGTATAAAATTAAATACGTTTCTTTGTACTATACTGTATTCTATGAACTGTGTAATTGTGAGTAATTAGCACAGGGATGATTGTTAAAAAAGGTAGTTTCCTTTAGGTATTGCTCCCTATCCTTTCATCATTTCCAGATGTTGCCTACAAAGGTATTGTTAAATGTGAGCTGCCATTCAACAGATAGGCTAAACCTTGGTTGAATGTCTAACAGATAATAGACTATAAGGAGATGCCAAAGTGTTTGTGAAAATGGATTTTGAATATGCAATTTCTTGATAATTAATTTCAACGTGATTGAGGTAGGTAAACCACTTTTATAGTATGAATTTATAATTTCTATATTGTAAATATTGGACACAAGTAGTCTCATTCATCCAATAATATTTTATTTAATAACAAACTATTCTTATACGATTATGTTAATCTTGAATGCTAATTTGTTATGGTACTAAGAAATTTTATTTAAAAAAGGATGGTTAGTTATTAGTTGTGCACCAGAAACAAGTTCTGATGCCTATTAAAATGCTCAATTAATTTGAGTATGGACCCTCTTAATATTATTAACGTGCAAGTATTGGTGTTTGTGAATCCGTCTATTAGCCAATCAACTTGGTCAAAACTACTGTACCAATTGAGTTGAGTTAAATTAATTGTTAGTATTACTACGATTATCATTATTCCACAAACTAGCTTTTGAAAAAAAAAATTGGTTGAAGAGTTATTTACATTAAGGTCCGACCCTCTCGCAATACATTAAGTAAATGTATGTGTTATTTATTAATGGTGTTATTTTAATGAATAAAAGATAAGTTATTAATATTTTTCTAACGGCTTGACTGAAATAAAAGAATTGAGGAAAAACATTTATATTTCACGAGACATCGATAGTAAGTAATTTATTTTATTACTACACTACGGTGTGTAGTTACATTTTCTTGGATCTATTGACTTCAAACATAAAGAGGGTGTTAAAAATAAGAACACTTTTTGAGTAAGTTTGACACCCTATCAAGAGTACTTTTCAACAAGCATTTGCTCCATTTCAACATCATACTAGGTAGTTCAAATTTTTATTCTGAAATCAACTATGGATGTGTAACTATTATTTTATATAGCAGGTCTAAAGAACTACATTACCCTCTCTCCGTTTTAAATCAAGGATATGGATGATGTGTTTCCTATTGTTGTTGGCAAGTAATATAACCTAGGAACTAAGTTTTGTGAATGTGTATGAATGTCAGTTTTAAATTGAGTCAACTCTTAAAGTCCAACAATATTTAGTGCTAGCAGCAACTGTTCCAAAAATAATATTATTTACATCGAAAGCCAATGAAAGTCCTAGACATCAATATTATGTCATAATAATAAATCATTTATTGCCATGAAAATAAATAAAACAGATTGACTGGCAAACTTGGATCTAGAATTTAAGCAGTATTTTATTGTTCATTTTTTTGTACGAAATACAATTTCCAATTCTAAAGTTGAATCTCCTGAGGTTGATTAAAATATTAATTATTCATTAGTAGTGCTACAATACCAGTTTAGCTGGATGACAACTACTGCAGTCAGTTTCTTCATAAAACCAATATTTTGTTTGAATATTTTTAGTGCTACTAATAGTATTTTTCATAGTCTATGTGTCTATTAGAAATACTTTATATAAAGTTAAGAGATTATTAGGATTAATGTATAACAAGTGAACACTTTAAATGCATATGACTTGTTTTGTTTTTATTTTTATTTTTAGCAAATAAATTCAAACTTCAAGCCTGTTTATGTAATACTAAGTATAGTTTGGTTTTTTAAATAATCATAAAGCTCTTGGATATTGAAATATGTTAGAATAAATATTTGTTACCTTGTGATATCCTTTGATATTGAGTTGGAGGCTAAGTTTTGTTACTACTGTCACAGTCACTCTGATTCACCATTCATGATATTTTAGGTTAAACACAAGCACAATGTTAACATTTAAAATAATAACAACTGAATATTACTCGGTTTTGCGTTTAGCCGGAAAAGTGGCAGAGGCTAGTGATAAAATAGTCGTCGTTTCAAGGTCATGTGATCAGCTGTTTGGTGTTTCTTATCTTCGACTATTCTTATCATCATAATGCACAATTCAGTTGCTTTTGGCTTTTGAGTTTGCTGTTCAAAGTGATTTAAATATTAACACATTTGTTTACTAGGTTTTAAGCAGAATAACTACTTCCGTGAATTCTTTTCTCATTACAAAAAAATAAAGTCAGTATAGTCGTTATTTTTCAGTATAGGCTATTTTAAAATTGAGGTATAATACAAATTTCGTGGTTCGTCCAAGAAAAAATAATATGTTTGATATACATTCACTCGTTAACGTTTTATTATTTTATAAGTAGGCTATAATATACTTTTAATAAAATGTAAACTTATAAAAGTTATAGCAAAATCTTTACACACACAGGTACTACTTTTTACATCAATTGCCTTGAGGAATTTCTGTAATAAACGTTTTTCACTGCCATCAATTATTGTTAAAATGATTAAGTTTATAAAAAACAATTGTTATTTTTAGAGAATTTTTATTATAAGAATTACTATACGCAAATGAATGCTGTAGTTTTGTTTCATTTACATTAAAGCAATCCTTAATGTACCAAAATATGAGTTAATTAAAGTTTTCAATGAAAACAGGCTCATCACATGACTGTATGGCTTGACTGAGACCAATGCATTTGGACAAAACATATATATTTTGGGTGACATTAATAGTAAGTAAGTTATTGCTACATTACAGTAATATATTGATAACTTTTTCGATCTATTTTCTTCAAACATAAATATTGCTTTTAAATTAGGCACAATTTTAAATAAGCGTATATGTTAAAAGTATCAAGACCAATAAATTAGTGGGTCTATGACTTTATGTTTAAACTTTAGATTTATTCATTTCCTAAGGACTACAGAACCTAGTATTTATTTATTTATTTTTGGAAACTGTTTATAAAAAATTTATTATTTTTATACTAAGTCTTTGAAAGTCTTGGACGGCGATATACTCCCATATAAATTATTATACAGGGTGATTTGTACTCAGTGTGACAAAATTTTTTATCGTAAGTACAAAGTAAATGACGTGTGATGATGCATATCTAATGTTCCAAGTCTAAAAATTAGCTTCCAAAAAATTATTTTATGTTTTTCAAAAATAACCATGCTTTTAAACTTAATACAGCGATTTCTCAATTACCTCTATATGGATTTGAGTAGATAATGTCATTTTCGTGTTCTACATTAAATTTCGAACAAGAATAGTAGAAAATGACGGAGGATCGGTTGTAAAAACTCCATTGTAAATAGATACAAAGATAAAAATTAAGATGTTTGATAAAAATTTCAAAAACAATGGTCAATTGCATTTTTCACACCCTGTATACAAGAATGTGTCGGAATATGTTAAAAACTGCGCCATTTTATAGGCTTTCCAACCAAATGCTACACTATTGAGGTTTAGATATTTTTTTGTTTGTTTTAGTGGTTTGAATACCAGAAAACAGGGAACTTTTTTACTGTATTTACTGTTCAAGCTGAAACAAAAATACAACTTTTGCTTAACACATGCCGACTTTCTATGTTTTAAATGTTAAAGACACCATGCTTTGTAGTCATCAAACCACTAAAGCGTACATAAGCAGACATAAAGCTCAATGGTGTAGCATATGGTTGGAAAGCTTATAAAGTGGCGCAGTTTTTAACATATTCCGACACTTTCTTGTATACAGGGTGTGAAAAATGCAATTGACCATTGTTTTTGAAATTTTTATCAAACATCTTAATTTTTATCTTTGAATCTATTTACAATGGAGTTTTTATAACTGATCCTCCGTCATTTTCTATTATTCTTGTTCAAAATTTAATGTAGAACACGAAAATGACATTATCTACTCAAATCCATATACAGGTAATTTAGAAATCACTGTATTAAGTTTAAAAGCATGGTCATTTTTGAAAAACATGAAATAATTTTTTGGGAAGCTAATTTTTAGACTTGGAACATTTGATATGCATCATCACACTTCATTTACTTTGTACTTACACCAAAAAAATTTTGTCACACTGAGTACAAATCACCCTGTATATTACCATGATAGGTTGTCTAGTAAGCTGTTGGCTCTCAAACTTAATTTGCTTATAATGATAAGTTTTATACTCTTTAAGCTGCATCTTTTGAATAAAATAATTATTCATTAATATACAAAATTAATGTATTTATTACCTTCCCTGTATCAGCAAACCTAAATTCACATTAAAATTTATGTTATTTATAAAGGAAATCTGACTATTTTAGGGAAATACTTTTGTGAAAACTCCCAGGTACAAATCCCTCCAAATCACCAATGGATTTTATTTCCGTCATAATGCCAAACCCCTAGGTCTAGCCTGAAGTAATGTGAAAAACTATCCCGGGCTCGTGTCTAGCATCCTATGACAAAAAACATTATGATGCAAAATACTTTTCAATGGTATTAAACTGAATGATTATTTGAATTTAGATCAATAGGCTAATGAGGTAAGCTGGCTGTGAAACACTCTAAGTTACTTTAGAAAACTAATCAGCTGTGAGGTAAAGCGGAAACTAGTTCAAGGAATTCACTTAAGTAAACCTGGTTACCTTATCCAACCGGAAAATGTTGCGTATCGTGTTAATAAAATAGCTGGATTAATTAAAACTTCTAACTTCCCCTTTCAATTTTTGGTTGTAGCTTGAGTTTATAGATTCGATTAAAATGTTTGTTTTATATCATTTATATTTATATTTGTTCATTTTATCTTATATGTACACTATTTTAGTTATCAAGTCCCTTTCTCATTTTTAACAACATTCTGTACACTTTGTTTGAATTCTTTAAGCTCTCTAAGCATTCAAAATTGAATTTTTGTTAACTTTAATGTTAGTAACAAATAAAATAATGCAACGCTTTTTTTAAATAGTTTAAAAAATTTACTTAATACATATCAATATTCTTATTAATTAAAATGTTCTTCTTTTTTCTCTATAAAGCTCCTTCTAAAGAACACACTCTTTAATTTACCAAGGGTTACATGTTCACTCAATGAGTAAAACTATATTACTAAAATGTTACAAAAACATGAAAAATGTTAACTGAATATAACTTTAAACGAGTATATTAGAAAACCAATTACTTAGCTCATGGAAAATAACTTTATGAAAATGTTAGAACTGGCGATAAATTCAAATGAGATCTTACTTATTCGTACTTGCTCAAGACTAAGTTCATAAAGCATGTTTATCGAATTTTTTAACTATTTTTTCCACCAACCATCGTCAAAAATTACGGATTTTATAAAAGAAATGTTAGAGTTTATAGTTAACAATATTTTTACAAAAATAGTAATGGACACTTTTGGGTAATGTAAATAAATTGAACTTTCATGCCTAAAAAATATAAAGAGTTCAAATTAGTTTTTCTACTTTTCAGCGCATCGCTCAAACCTTTATTTTAACATTATGCAATTTAGCTTTAAGTAAATGCAATAACACCACCCTTGTTCAAGATTTTTTCAAGACGTGAAAAATTTTCAGTGATAACTTTCAAACTCGTTTCCTTAACAAAGGAATAGTTATGTTGGTTTTTTGTACAACTTTTTCACAGCTTTTGACATTATTTCTTTTTTATTTTGTTCTTGTACATTTAGAAATCTATGTAGAAAATACATTGATTTTAAATGGATTTGGCATATTTTATAAAGAATAGTCTTAAACTCTAGTATCTTTAATAACTCTTTACACTTGTCACCGAGAAGACTTTTAGAAAAAATATTCGATCCAATCGAAAATAAACATAACATGAATAAATTGATGGATTATGTTTGTTATTAACAAAAAAATGTAATTCTTAAAACAAATGTTACCTTTTGTAAAAATGTTCTTTCTCATTATACAAACCAAAATTAGCAAAACTTAGAACTACAGTTTTAAGTAGAAGTACTGTTGAAATATTATCATATATACAACTTTTTTCAGCATATAAAGTAAGTTAATTTTACCTACTTGGAAAATATATATATATATGGGGGGGGGGGTAAATACCCTTTTAACAAGATGGTAAATATATCTGAAAGATAGTAACCACAAACATCTTTCATATGTATTTACCGTATGGTTAAAACGGTGTGTAAATTAATCTTTTTCAGTGTTGTAAAGTGTATTTTTATTTACTTTGCGTAATCATTATATACA